TTTGTGTTGCGTTATTTTGTGTTGTATTGTGATGTGATATGTTGTGTTATTAGCTTTGTTTACATCTATGACGTTATTAATATGACTGCCGCTTGATTCAAATCTTAATTAAATATTGTTGTTGTTTTTTATTTAAATCGTGTAATAAACTATACAACGAATACCTGACTTTAATCAAGCTTATGTTGCCGAACAAAAGTTTCCACTAAACAATGCAGTTGAGTGACTGATTACAAAAGCTGTTTCGATAACGTTCTCTTCCCAAACCAAGCTCAGTTTGGTACGATATTTGACGAGAGATCGGTCCAACACTGGGCAGACTCACTAACACTATACTAATAACCCCCCTGAAAATCCACTCCAAGTAGTCTGTGACCCTTGCATGAATCAGCCAGGGTGAAAGTATTACTGTATATCACATGAAACAGACGAGCGGATGACGGTGTGAAGAGTGAGTTGTCCTCGGTAGGATTATCCACCTTTAACCTCTGTATTTCCGATAATGGTGGATCAATTATTAATCCCCCCGGCGGCCAGAGCTACAGCACCACCACCCCTCGCACTGTAACTTTACTGTGTTGATCCAGACTCAAAGAAAATGTTATGTGGTAAAGAAAATGGGGCGCTGGATGGGCGTTGTCGCAGTGGGTAACTATTCTGTTTTAGATATGCTGTCACTTCGTCTCTGTTATAACAATAAGTAATTCAGATCTGTTTTTAGTTTGCTACAGGAGATTTACTTTACTTACAGAATAATTTATATGTTGAATAAGTAAGTATGCTTTAGGTGAGCTACTAGGTACAGTGTTGGTGTGTTTCAGTAAAAAAAAAAATTGCCCCTGCTGAAATTATATGTATTTGAAGAAATTTATACCTTATCTGGCTATATTTTTTTTGCGAAGATGTGTAGCTAACTAATAAAATTATCGTTTATGAGAGAGCAAACGAACTAAGCAAACGTAGTTATGGACTTCTTTCAAGTTCGCCTTCCTCTGTATAATATATTATAGTATACCCGTAAACTAGAGCCACAAAAGAGAACGTACATCAGCTACCGTTTTCTGTGATGGTCGACGATGTTGCTCTCATCATTTAAGAGTTTCCCAGAGATCGACCAGGCAAGACACCCCAATGACTGTGCCACATATTAATGGACCATAACGAGCTGTCTTTACGAGAGCCCGTCAAGTTTATCCATTGTTGTGCATTTTCACTGTTGCAAGAATCTCGTTGCACGCTTATTTTCCCTACGAAATAGCCAGCGAAGAGAAGCAAGGAATTAAGGAAGCTTAACCCAATGTAATTTCAAAGGTTTCATGGTAACCTAACCTAACTCAACTTAACTATATCCTAAAATATCAAAAGTTTGGTTAGATTACGTTCGCTTTTTGGGGTTAAGAAAAAATAGTACTTTGATAACATTGACTGTTATTGTTTGTTTTTACTCTCGTGCTTGGGTGATACTCGTTCACCAGACAGACAGACAAGCAGATGAATGACGTCTCAGTAAACCGAGAATGATGTGAATAATACAAGGGGAAGCAATATGCCAAGAATGCTTTGAAAGATATAGGAGGAAAGAATGGCTGTGATGTGACTGATAAAGGAGAAGATAGTAATGATTAAGAATGATAAGAATAATATAAAGAGAAGATTGACCAAAATGAGAACGTTGTTGATATCGATGACGTAAAAGAGGAATGGTTTGAATTAGAATGTCACTATTGAATGTGATTAGAGGTTATATAACAAATGGATGATTTAAATAAGACGCAAATAAGAATTGAAGGTGAATGATAAATAGCGATATGAGGGTGATTAATAGAATGATTTAAAGATGAATTATATTTTGAATTGAGGGTGAAATGAATAATTAGTTGTGGGTGAATGATGTAGAATGTTATATCCACTTTGTGTTGTGTCACTTGTGTGTGTGTGTGTGTGTGTGTGTGTGTGTGTGTGTGTGTGTGTGTCTTGTTTACACCTGTCTGACACGTTACCTGGCTGAGTTAACATTTTTATTTGTCATGGTTGTTCGTTCACTTCTTGTAATCTTGAATTATTCTTGACAGTGGCAGGTGTGTGTGTGTGTGTGTGTGTGTGTGTGTGTGTGTGTGTGTGTGTGTGTGTGTGTGTGTGTGTGTGTGTGTGTGTGTGTGTGTGTGTGTGTGTGTGTGTGTGTGTGTGTCCTGCTGGCTGGCTTGTTGTTGTCAAGGGATTATGGCCCTTATTTTTCTGTAGGGGAAGGAGGAGGGGGGTTGAAAAGGAGAGGAGGGTAGAGAGGAAGAGAGAGAGAGAGAGAGAGAGAGAGAGAGAGAGATGGAAAGAGTGAGGAAGGGAGGAATAGAAAGGAAGGGAGGGTTGTGAGGATTAAAGGCCCTAATGATGACTGAAATAACAGAGAATCGGTCAAAGCTGCGTTAGTGCCGGTCTTTATGCCCGACGTGTCAATATTGAGGTGTATCTGGCAAACAAAACTCCCTCACGTGAAATAACACATTGTCGGTCGGTCAGTCAGTCAATCAGTTTCAGGAATGACAAACAAAACAAAACTGGACATAGATTCTTAGTGGAAGACATAAGCTGGTGTGAGGCGGGAGAGGGACAATTAATGCAGTGCGGGGGAGAACAGTGGGTGAGGGAGGAAGAGTGGTGGAGATGTGGGAGGTAGGACACAGTGAGGGAGGAAGAGTGGTGGAGATGTGGGAGGTAGGACACAGTGAGGGAGAATATTAAGGGCAGGGAGCAGTAAGGGAGAGTGTGGTTGAGAAAGAGTTGTGATGGCGATGAGGGAGAGAATGATAGCTGTGGTGTGTGTTCGAGGGAGCACAGTGATGGAGGGAGGAGGCGTGTGTGCTCCCTGCTGGTAGTAGCAGTTACCATGGCGGCAGTCAGTCTGCCTACCGCCCACCATCGCACACTCTCTCTCTCTCTCTCCCCTCCAGTACCAACTGCAGTTCCTCGTCTCCTCTCAGTCTCTCTCACTTCCCCTCAGGAAGAACTCTGTCGCTCCCGTGCCACATTTTGGGGAAAGTAACGCAAAGACCCAAGGGAGGGACGCCAGGATGATGTGTTGGTGTGAGGAATGTGTCAGGGAGGTTAGGCACGCTAGTCGGGACAAGTATGAGACAGTTAACAAGGCAGATGTAGCTGTGTAGCCCCCGGTAAGTGTGTTTTCTGGGGACGCGCAACAGGTGGCGGCGTGCACGTGGCTGAGGGTAAGAGAGGCGCCGCCCACGACCTCCTCCACAACACACCACAGCTCAGGAGTGTGGGGTCTGCTGGTGTAGGGTGATCATTCCGTCCATACACTGTTATACTGTTTCTGGGACGTCAGCAGTGCCCGACTGTGACATATTGTGAACCAGTGAATGAGTGTGGTGTTAGTCTATACTTGATAACACGATCAGAACGCTGTGTTTAACGATGTAGACTTTTAGGTGGGCAGTGCGCTGTAGCAGCAAGAATATGTGATGATCAGAAGACGATATACCCCCCCTCCGTCCACGCCTTCGTGAGTACCTGAACCCCGAGGCCTTCACACATGTCCTGCCACTCACCACCCACCTCTACACCTCGGTCACTCAACCACAACTGAGTTACTAATGAGTTTAATGGGCACCAGACGTTGTGCGCCGGAAGGGTGTGAACCAAAGAGAAGGAGTGTTGTGTCAAGACTCTTGGAGGCAACCAAACCTGAGACAAGGAGCACAGTGTAGCAAGTATGTGCCAGAACCAACACAAAAAAGGCTCCAGTACTGAAATACTTACCAATTGTAGCTTTGTATAAGAGCAAAGTATTATATAAATTAATTAAATGCTCTTAAATGATAAAAGTACCTAAAAAAAAGCCTGCGTATTGGCTTTACACACCGAGTGGAATCCCAGCGTTATTGTGGTCGTGATACAAAACTGGAAGGGACACAGGACTGACGTGAGTGAGCAGTGTTCGTCCCCCCACGCCACCAGGGATAACAATATTGGGCAGTCATATAAACAGCTGATGTAGTGCTTGTGAAACTACACGATCACAAGGGTAAAGGAGTCACCATTGCTCTCCCGCACCAAACTACCACACACACACACCCCACGACCACCCGCAACACACCCCTCGACTACCCCCATAAGACACCCCACGACCCCCACACCATCCCCGCACCACCTCACACACTTTACGACCCCCATCAGTGGACATGAGTTTTGCAGCTCTGAGACGATTCTTAAGAGGTAATGTATTCTGGGTGTGTGTGTGTGTGTGTGTGTGTGTGTGTGTGTGTGTGTGTATAATATTCTAATCTTAATAAATTATTAATCGTAATTAAGAATATTTATAAGTTAATGATTTTGTTATGGTTTTGACAGTAAGCTGAGATAAGATGAAAGTGTGTTTGTCCAATCTGTTGTCTGTTTTAACTCATAATCGTCGTGTATGAAAAAAAAAAGATTACTATTTTTGTAAATCATGGATATAAAATATGTTGAGAATTATTCTTAATAAATTTCATCATTAAGTTGTTTTCGTGACCAGCTTCAGCCAATCAGCGGCCAGAGTGCTGCCACTTCCTGTGTTTTATTTGTACCACGTGACCTGATTCAGCTAATCAGTGGCCAGAGCGCTGATGATCGGTCAGACAGCTATGAAGGGAAAATGAGTCCACAGAGAGTTGGATCAGGCCAAACACCACTTTCCACCAACACCTCATCCACGTTATTAATGAGATATGTGAGGATTTCCATGACTCAGGAAGGAATTACAGCGGGGGTGATTATCCGGGGAATTGTAGGTAATGTGTCCTTGGATTGGTCACTTAAGAGATAAAATTAAGGCAGAGAATCTTTTGATAGAATGCACATTAACCGAATATGACGTATGTTTTAATTGTTCTGTTGAGGGTGGAGTATGGGGAGGGAGGTGTTTGTTAAGGAGGGTGTAGTAGTGGATGGTGTGGGCAGGGAGTATATTAAAGGAGACATCAATGACAGTACATCTTGATCCACAGAGACTGAACGCAAGCTGGCGGGCCTCCAGCTGAGTGGTTTTGTGGACGGTGACGTGGAAGACCAGGAATCTACACCCATCATTCCCTCCACGTCGCCGGCATCGCCCGACGAGCCCTCCCATGCTGTGGTGCTCCCACAGGCCCACGCCTTCTCCATCTCCCAGCAGGGCCAGGACCAGCAAGGGATGAGGCCCAACAGTGCCGTAAGTGTACCATCCATACTACTTAACACAACCACACCATCTCACTCTCTGTTTGTTACATTGTCTAGATAAATACATGAATAACGTTAAACTTTTTCTTTGAGTAATAATTATAACGCTACCAACTATACGGTATCACGAATGATTAAATTTAAATGAACCTGACCTTATTACAGGTTACTAGGAAGTTAACCCCGGCTCAGCCAATGATTTTTTCCACCTTGGATTGTCTTGCTGTTTTATAATACAGTATTTGACTTCAGACATGGGACCAATTATAATCATTACCTTGTAATCATGATTGGCTACAATTATGGTGTACAATACTGGATATATAACATCCAATTATTCATACCTATATAAACATAATTGTTATTTTAGTCCAACATTTACAAACACTACGTTAATATATCCACCTTCATTTACAGTTTTAAACGTGACTGCATTGAGATCATAATCGATCCAACAAATTTGTTGTAACCTTTTAAGGAGTGGTCATTGACAGATCCAGGAAACTAGTTAAGCTATCAGGTGACTCAGAAATCATGTCATTATACTGTATTTGTCAAGATCAAAGAAGAACCACTTCTACATGTGATAGGTCATTATGGCTATACTGTACAGCCATACTACCATGACAGTACTGCAGTATGCTCCAGGTCTAACACCATTGGATTTTTTTGTGGTGTCCTGGGGGCTTATTTGATCTCGCAATATTTACTTGGTAAAATTGTCAGTTTTGAACCTATTTATTTTTCTACTGATATAGAATCAATGTGATCAAAGGTAACCAATATTTTACTTGGTGTGATCATAAATGTAATTGTAATTAATTATTGTTTACTGTACAGTACAGTATTTATTGCACATGCTCAATGGGAACACAACTTACTAAGTTGTGTTCCCACAACTGTACCAAAGTTGAACTTAGGTACAGTTGTAACATTTTCCTGTAAACCTTTAAGCATTTACAGTGTCCAGTTTTAAAACTGTTCCTCATTATTTTATTTTAAATTTTCATTTGGAAACTCAGTTGCTGCAGATTTTTTAATGAATTCAACTGTTATTGAAGACCTCATAGCCATATATTTAGTACAGTGTGAACAAATTAATTACTTCATACTACACTACATCTACATGTAATATTCAGGTTTTTTATTGTAATTCCCAATAGTCTTTTGGGGGGATATTGCTGATTTAAATGCCCATATGCATTATAATCAGTGTCAGTGTTCAGTACGTACCAGATAACAGTATTTGAATTTTGAGCCCCAATGATAAATATTCATTCTTTATATCAAGTATTAGAATGGCTGTAATTTTTGCAGGAGTCTGTAGGATCAGGTGAAATGCCGTCATCACTAGCAGGAAACCTTGATGACGGTCCTGAGGTGGAGAGGTTTGTGTTAGAGCCGGCCCCTGAAGGCTCACTTATCAAATGCCGCATATCAAGGGACAGGAAGGGGATGGACCGTGGCCTCTTTCCTACTTACTTTCTGCACATGGAGCGAGATGATGGTAAAAAGGTTAGCACTATTTTTTTCTTTGAAATGTAAGAGAATCCAATAAAGCTGTAGCTAAATTTTAGTCTTTTCAGTACAGTACCCTATTACAGGTATGAGCTTGATGGATGCATTTTAATGCTGTACTGTGCATTATTTTTTCACTGAGTCATTTCTCATGAATGAATCATACTCATTGATTTTGATGCAAATATAATTTTCACACCATCAAGACTGTGGCACAGTGCATATATAGTATTAGTAAAGAAACATGTGGCACAGTGCATATATAGTATTAGTAAAGAAATATGTTTTAACATATACTGTAGTATATTGTCCTCTTGATCGCTAATAGTATTACTGACTGTTTTACTCAATGTTAAAATGAGTTTACTCAGTAAACCTGTGTACAAAACATCAAGTTATCTCTTAAAAGAATTGTCTGATCTTATTTGTCAGTACAGTACAGTATTACAGTAGTCATCTCTGTTGTAGGTCCTTAAGTAGCTAAAAAAAATGTAAATTATGTGTAATTTTTCTAAGTTTCTTTTTGTATTTGATTATTATAATAATGTTAATAAATCATTTTTGTTGCAATTTGTCAAGGTCTTCAGCCAATTTTAATTCAAATTTACACTTTGCAGGTATTCCTATTAGCAGGACGAAAACGTAAGAAGTCTGCCACCTCTAACTATTTGATCTCTGCTGATCCAACTGACCTCTCTCGTGGAGGAGAATCTTTTTGTGGTAAATTAAGGTCCAATTTATTGGGGACACAGTTTACCATATTTGATGGGGGTGAGGGTCGCAAGAAGGCCCCCTCCTCCACCACCACCACCACCACCACAGAGAAGCCTGGCTCAAGACAGGAATTGGCTGCTGTCATTTATGTAAGCATAATTTACTTTACCAATTTTGTAATACTTTTGTACTAGTAATTTTATTAATACATTCAAATTTGAATGTACACTAATTCTGGCTTAGCTCTTGCATTTTATTTTTGCTTAGGAATTTAAAATTAATGGTAAATTCCTAAATACTAAACCTCTACTGTCCATATTTTATATGTAATGTACTTGAAGTCTTTAAGCCATTTCCAACATGTGCTTGTATATTATAACAATATAATGAATTACAGGTACAGTAAACCCAGTACAGTTCTATACAGTACATTCCACACCATTATTTAATTACAGAACTCACAATAATATTACAGTACACTATTTGTATTTGAGGTATAAAGTGAAACTCCCACAAAAACAAAAATAAGAGTCAGTAACATAGATGTGTCATAGTCAGTAAATGGTTTACTGCCATAAAGAAGGATGAGCTAAATTGATGTACTGTATGCAATCACATGCTGCATTACTTTTAACAGCTGTAAACAATGCTTTATTCTGCAAAACTACGTATAACCATATGCGTTTAGTGGACGCTGACTGCATGCTTCTTTTGACAGTTTACTCTGAACCTTTATAAAGAAATAACTATTCACCTTGTGTTGCAGGAAACCAATGTATTAGGCTTCAAAGGTCCAAGGAAGATGACTGTGATACTCCCAGGGATGACAGCAGACCACCAAAGAGTAGAATTTCGTGCAAATGTAGAACATGATAGTCTTATTGGTAAGTTGAGTCAGACAGCTTCTTGTATGGTTTCATTTTTAATATAAAATATGCTTTAGCTTTAGAACGTAATGTAAAACCACAAAATTGAGTTTTTTATAGGTCACCTCATCCTTACCAGTGCAGTATACCATTAAAAATAAAACATAAATTTCTTTCAGAGCGATGGAAGACCAAGAATATGGATCAGTTGATTGAACTATGTAACAAGACACCTGTATGGAATGATGACACGCAGAGTTACGTCCTAAACTTCCATGGTCGAGTCACTCAGGCCTCTGTCAAAAATTTTCAAATTGTCCATGAAAGTGATGGTTAGTTCTGTTTATTTCTGTTACAGTATTTAATTTCTATATCCCATCATGGCAGTAATGTAACACATTGACACAGTGTACTAGTCATGTATTAGTTACTCTTTTTTTTTTCATTAATAGATGCCTCTTCCTGTTATGTGGGTTTTGTGTGATGTATTTGTAAGAGGAATTTATAGCTTATGCCTCCGATTCATTACGGTATCCAAGCTTACTACGAACAAGTATTTATTTCCTGTTTTATATTTACATGAATTTCCCTCTTTACAGTTGATTACATCATCATGCAGTTTGGGAGAGTAGCAGAAGATGTGTTTACCATGGACTACCGGTATCCTATGTGTGCTCTTCAGGCATTTGGTATTGCTCTCTCATCATTTGACTCTAAATTAGCTTGTGAATAATGTATTTAGTACATTTAGATATCTCCTTCTAACTTTTGGATGAAGTGTGCATTGGACTGTGCTGGCTAGTGTCCTCATTATGATACAGTTATATTATGAACACTGGAGTTTATGTAGCTAAGACTGGGAGAGCGGCAGGCCAGTACTGTGTTGCCTGATGCCTTGTTCACTCTGTAAGCTAAGGTGAAATGTGATGCTTGTACTTTGCTAAAGAGCTGTGTGCCATTTTTGCCAAGTCTTACAGATGAGAAATTAAGTCTACTATCTGTTTGAAACGTCTCATTCAGATATAAACTGGTTTTATTGCTGGTTTTAAGGCTTCAAGTGGCTTAACACTCAACTAGAAACATAACTAACTATTTAAGAAGAGTTCTCATGACATAAACCTTGCAACTTTTTTAGCTTAACATTTCAACACTTCAGAGTGTTACCTTTGATGACTGAAGACTCATTTTAGGAGTGCACATTAAAAAAAATGTGCTTTGAATATGTAATATATTGTATTGTACGTTTCTTTGAAAGCTCGTATGAATTTCAAATGTTTTTATTTATAAATAAGTTACTGATTTTCTACTTATATTTTTTTAGGTAATTTTTAACTAATGTTTATAATGACTGGTATCAATACTGATCTCATTTTGATCCGCTTTTACTTATATTAAGGTTCCTTCTTTTCTTTTTTTAGAATATGACTGGTTCCTTGGCATATTGCAATTTTATTGAAGCACAAATGCAGCCAATATAGCTACAGTATACACATACAGTATATATTTATATCTGTCATAGGTATTCTCTTTTTTTTTCAGAAAGTTGTTTTATCCTTATATCATTCTTTATATAATAAGTAGTAGAACGCAATGATCATTTTTATCTGGATTAATAAACATGTGTAGGGTGGGAATACAGGATACTTAGGTTGTGAATGAACACCATAGAAAACTGATCTACTTTGAGGTGTTCAGTTATTGGTGCAGTATCCTGCCCTCTGAACCAGTGTCTAAAATGATAATGAATTCATTGAAAATACTGTACTTGACTGTACATAAGAAAATTAATACACATGAGATACCCTGTGGAAGAACTCGGTAACAGCTGAAATACAAAAAATCCAGAAAATCCAGTTAAATTTACATGATATTAACATTACTATAACTTTTGAATCATAAACGATATCTTGTCATTTTTTTCGCACATACTGTACATTTGAACCTCCCCATAATGATGATGTGAATGAAAATGATATTAGTACTGTTCATCTTTAATATTTCCAAATACATGTACAGATTTTCATAGAGAGCTATGTCAGAAAGTAAGCTGCATAAGAGAAAGTTTCAAAATTTTTTTACTTTATGTTGCAATACTGTATTATGTTTTCATGTAATAAACAGTAAAACAGTAGTAATTCAAGTACTGTAATGTATGTAGTTGAGAAGATAATTTTAACTGCATTTTCTGGAATTTATTTCGTCAATAAAGGTTTTCTGACATTATTATGCTTAGAGAATTATTATGTACATATTGTTATTACTAATTACTACTGTAATACAATTTTGCAATTACTGTAATAAACATTAGGTATTCTGGACTTTACCGAAGTGTCTAAATAGACTTTCAACCTTATTAAAAATGGCATAAATCGGTACTGTATCTCAATACTTTTACAGTACTTGCCTGGATAGAGGATATAGTGATATAAATATCTCATTTTTGGTTGTGTTGGTGCCTGTCGAGTTCTTCCACAGGGCACCTCGTATGCACATTAAGTTTTTCTTCCTTTTCTGTTCTAATGCAGCTGTGGCCAGAATCAGCAGCAAACACATACATTTCAAGACTCTTTTTTTTTATTTATTCAATCAGATTGCTGTTGAAGGTGCATTCTACTGTGATATCCTGCTTCTACAGAAAAGCCCAAGATATATGTTTGATTTACCCTTGTCACTTCACACAACCTAACATCAGTCATCTTCATCACATTCTTCCCCAAAACTAACTTAACACAATGTTCTCTGGTCATTCATCCACATACTTTGTCTCCTTACTGGTCTTCTCCTCTCCCTCCTGCCATCCACCTCTGAAGTATACAGTACACTGTTTCCTTCTCCTTTACCCTTCAGCTTTGTTTTGCAAAATACCAGGACATCTATGTTAATTTTGCTCATCATAAATTTATTGAATCTTTCTTCACTTTCGTAACTGAATATTGTACAAGAAGGTGGGGTCAAGCCCTATGCAGGTCACTTGTTCCCATACCCATGTTCTTGTATAGTAATGTTTATTATTATAGGCTTTGATACTGTTCCACTGTTTGAATATTTTATTGTGACTTAATATATTTACCATGGTATTCCTGTTTCTCACTTGCTTTAAGTTAGCTTAATTTTAATTGTTATGTTGTTAAAACATAAATTATCAGTACAAGGAGTTATTCAAGTCTTTAAAAGGCTATGTTTGAGTTTCAGATTTGTTGTGGAAGCACTAACATTTATGCAATCATACAAAGATTACCTCAACTTTGTTGTGTAAACTCTAGAATTTATTTTACCTATTTCTAAGTAGGTTTAGTTAAATTTTGTTTATAACATAATTTGAAATTTCTCTTTCTTCATAATAGTTCCTGAAGTAACATTAAGTTTATAAAGAAATAATATGAAATTAACTACCATATCTACATGCTGAACAACCAGCTCTGTCAGTATTGTAGTAGCACTTAATTACCAAATACTAAGTAGCATTGCCACTAGTATAAGGGGTTATCAGATAACAGTAAATGTGCATACAAACACCTATTGATTGTGACTCATGTGCTTTAATAAGAATAACACAATTATAGTACAGTACATTTATTCTCCACTGGGACACATTTCAGTAAGACAGTTTAGTGCTGAAGTAGTACAGTAGTAGTTAATATATTTAATGATTGGTTACATCTGGGAAGCCAATTTAAATTCTCCCTAGTTTATGAGACTGGAATATAGGAAAGAAAGTATCCCTCTAATAGATAAAAAGGCATTAACCAAAAATAACTGAAATTCACCTTTTCTATGACAACAAGAATGTCCCATATCATGGTAGTATATCTTACAAGTGCATGTTTTATACTGTACATATTGTAATGCAAGTATTTGTAATCCTGAATGGTATTTCTTTTTTATAAAATGGCCAGGTTATTTTTTTTTAGTTAATAATCATTATACTGTACATGCATATTTCAGGCACATTGCAAGTCTACATTATTTTCTCTTTCATTTGTGAATGCTGTCTTGGCTGCAGAGATTCTCCTGCAAATATATTTGTTCAATTAGGGGTATCATACCTATATCACATGATGGACTGTTAATCCATAAGATGTACATTTCCTCCTAGAGCCAGGAAGGATTGGAGGGTTTTTACTGTTGATGGTGTGTTCAAAACTGGTGACTCGGATATGTCAAAACTTGGAAGTAAGCTCATCCTTCTCATTTAGGAAGTTTGTTAACATCTTCATGTGTAGGGGACAAAATAAAGGAGGTTTAGTTATGAGTTTATGCAAGGAATTTTGTTGAGGTAATACAGTAGAGAATATTGGCCATTAATGTATCTATAATTCAGATTTCTTATTATTTAGGGAAATTTTCAAAAATGTTTTTAAATATCAAATGTGCCATAACATGAATTTTTTCATTGTATGTATGACTTTATGTCCTTTGTTCTTAGTGTTACTCACATGGACAAAATCCCAAACAAATGACATATCTATGTTTTTAGAGGGGAAAAGGGAGAAATTGTATGCTGGTTGCCATGGTTCTATAGTTATCAAGTTATACAAGAAAGGTTAAACCAGAAACTTTTACTGTCTCTGCACAGAAAATTTATTTATTCTCTGGACCTGATTTAAGTAAGTGCTGACGGTGCCAATTATCCTGAAATTACAAACGTATTTCTTCAAATGGAATTAATACAAGGGACGTAAAGAGCAGTAAATCTGGGATAATTAAAATAAATTAATTTGGAAAGTAATTTAGTCAAGTACAGTAGATAAGAACTGATTAGTATTTATCAATGATTTCTTTAGAAAAAAATTTGTGATGGCAAAAAATTTATTGTACTTTAATATGAATTCTAGGCTGAGGTTTTGATTATTCAGACCATTGGTGTTCAGTAGTGTTATGGATGACTGATAAAACATAGATTATTGTGAACTGAGGTGGATATCTATACTTTTGTCTCCTTGAAGTTATATTTTGTGACTGATGTTCTCATGTCATTGTTCAAGTGCAGAAGGTACTCATACCATTTAAGTAGTAGTGTAGGACTACTTGTCATTTTCTACATTAACGAACACTTCCCTTCTGTGGGCTGGTTGGTCTGAGTAGTAGATTTGCTTCTCATTAAGCTCCTTAGTGAAACCAATATGACAGGTTAGCATCAGAATTAAGATAAATAACAGTAAAGAATGACAACTTGTTTTGTAAAAGCTATATTCTAATAATAGTGCTGGAGTTCATACTGTAGATGTGTATATAATATCAGAAATAGTAATAAGATACTGTATATAAATAATTTTTCCTGAGTCCTGTATTGTAACCTATTCATGTACAGTACTCGTGCATACATGTGACAGGCACTAGAAAACTTTTCATTGAAGAGATGTACGTGTAAATGGTTTTTCTTATTATTCTAATGTCGTTCATGAAGACAGACCGCAGTGGTATTAATATCTAAAACCAAAGTACAGTATAGAAATATTTTTGAATGAACATCTCTATATTTCACATCTCGAATGGTATGAATGTCTTAGTCCAGGTAGTGCTGTATCTCCTGCTACAAACATTGAACCAAGTTTTTTTTTAATACTGCTAGAGAAAAGAAATGTTGGTAAAGATGCTATTGATGTGTCTATCTAAATTTCTGACACTTAAAGTTTTGTAAATACGGGATAATTTAAAACTTCCATATTATAATATACAGTACAGTAGAACTTCTCTACACAGGACTTCAGTACACCAGAATTCACTTTTTTCAGACTTTCTAGGGTGCTCCAGACTGCCCTCTATTCACCTGAAATATTTATAAAAGTTCGAAAAATCCAGCGTGTTTGGACGGTTTGTTTGTTCATACGTGTGGTTGAATGTGTGTATGTGTGTGTAGGAGTCGCGCCATATATGTCCAAGTCCTGCTCTCATATGTGCTGTATCTGTGTGCCATACCTTGCTACTTACTCTCAATTACATGAACTTTTTATGTTGAGAACATATTGTCTTTAACAGAGATACTGTAATTGAGGGTCGTTGCATTCACCAAGTTTATTTATGGATTCATTATCCTATTTTCATATCTTCAGCCTCATCTGGTGTACGATTCATCATAATTCATATAATATAATTTGCTTTTTTCTGACTTTAGCTTTTTACAAACTTAGTAAATTTAGTAAGAACAGCCGGCATGATTCACACACATCAAAGCTGACGCTTATTATATTTATAAATTGTAGAATATTTAAAATATTTGATATGTGAATTTATTTGCAACATTTCTACTTGTTGATTTAACTTTTTCTTGTCTTTTTCTGTACTTTTCTTACACAACTCTTCCATGCTCTTTCCTCCCTCTGGGGTTTTTGTACCCATTGACCCCCTCCCCATCCTCACCCAAAAATGGGAGACTAAAAAAGAGAGTGAGAAAATATTTATGCTTTCATACAGAATGAATTAAAAATTAGAAGAATGATGATCAGGCTAAGGTTGGGAACATTATCACGTACAGTACAGTACAGTACTGTATAGGTAATGTGGTCGTCTTCACTGATTCATTGTAGCAGAATTTTATTTCTTTGGTTGAAAATGTGTTGTTTACATATTTCAGTGCAGTAAATTTTCTAATATTTTCCAACCATTAAAAGTAAAGTAAAGACAATAAAGGTTAAATAATTCAGTATTAATATTAAGGAAAAGAGTGCTGTATACTGTACAGTACTGTATACTGTACTGTCAGACATGATATATAGGAAGAGAGTTTTAGGAAAGTTTTTAAGACAATTTTATGATTTATTGATAGTACTGTAAAGTAAGTTAAAAAGAAATGCACACCAGTATCTGTTCAAAGCAGTGATTATATATATATATATATATATATATATATATATATATATATATATATATATATATATATATAAACCTGTTGCGTGGTTCACTGTCAGTTTACTGGTAGTTCTCACTACAAATACAGTAGTTTTGTTATTTAAAGTGTAATCCACATGTTAAAATTCTGAATACTTGTCTCTGGAATTTGAATTGTGTTGTTTTAACCATGTGAGTAGTACTTGGAACATTCTCCTGCATGATGCCACAGTGTGTGGGTGAAATATTTCGGTATTTCTTCATAAATTTGACAAAAAATTTCAGGACATAAAGGACATGTGTACCAATACAAATAACTTTATAACTGTAATTATTACTACAGTACTGGAAAAGTACAGAGAATTTTGAAGTAATTTAGGCAGTCAATAATTAATGGACACCTTGTTTGATGACAATTTCATAAACTTTAATCTTAATGGCTTTTAATATGGCCATCCATGCTTTGAAGAGGTGTTTAATGTTTTCAGAATACTGAAGGAAGTATTGTTACTGGTGATCAATGTGATGTGCATGTACTTGTAACACAAGAAAGGTGCCTACTATTGTATTACTTTTATCAACAGAGTAATAAATGTGCAGAATATATAGTAAGCTTTAGGTGCTCATTTAGATATCTGAGTTTGTTGCTGCTAGTGCTAATCAGTACAAGTTACTGCCTTTTTAAAATATATTTCAAGCAGCCTAACAATAACAAAGAGAAACCTGCACAGTTATTCTAAAATAATTTTCATAATAAATTTTTTGTGAATACACAACAACAGAGGTGCACTTGGACACCACACCATATCAAAACAATATATGAATACGGACACAGTACAGTATATGGATATTGTACTATAATAGCTCTTACAATGTACTGTACTGCAAAGATTAGCTAACTCCAAAAATCATTCTTTTACTGTGTAATTTATTTTCTTAAATAAAAAACTTTGGCCTTACTCTTCACATTTATATATTTTTATGAGAACATTTTGAAAGTGCATGACAAAACTTAGACTATAATATAACATAGTAGATGATGACTTACACTGTAGAATGAATTAACCACATTTGTACTGATGCATGACATTGAAAAGGACACAGCTATCTTATTCTTTCCTTTTAATTTCATCTATAAATACCTCATCAAGTTTTCTTACTCAGCTACATTATATTAATGTTTGTGCAAGTAATCAATCTTCTCAGAAAGGATCATGTACCATTTTCACTCATAATAACTTCTCCCTCTTACAGTTTTACCGACACAATCTTGTAATACTGTACTGTTCTCTCTGGCACACACGTTATGGATCACTCCCACACCCTCTTTCTCTTAGTGACATTATGACACTCCTAGTGTCACTCTCACACTGACTATTTTAAGTTTTATTTTCATAAACTATCTTTATGTCATTATCACATTCACTCTTTTACAATGCCACACTTTCAAACCCTTCCATCATTATCTTATAATATCAGTCATGCACTTCTCTCACTATTCAGAATTCATTTTTACTTCCATCTTCCTCAACACTTCCTTTCTCCTTTTTTTACCGCACACATAATGTCACCTTAACTTCACTGACCTCAAATATAAATTACAAGCATCATACCTCACCATGAACTAGGTCACTTGTACATATATATTTCTTATGTGGAAAATTCAGCTTTTAAGATGTGATTGATGATAGTGGAGGCTACTCTCAGTTTGTGTAGTGTTAGGAGTGGCAGGCTTTCTAACTGCTCTCCAATCCATGCAAGGGGAAATGATTTTGCTCTCTTTTTGTCCGTCCCTTTTATGACTTAAGAACTACAGTTCTTATCTGATCATATTTGTTTGTATAGTTTAACATGATTTTTATGGTATATTTAGTAAATATTACATAAAAAACAAGATTGTGCCAGCAACACTTAATGGTATTTCAAATGGACACATTACTTTACTGTACAGGAGCATGAGATTTAAATGTACAGTACTTAATTTAATGCATATTGGTTAAGCTATTTTCCAAGCAAATTCGTTTTGCTCTTATTAATAGACTGGAATAAACCTGTCACAGTTAAAATATGTGTCTTGAGCATATACATACTGTACTGTATAACCAGTGCAGTAAATTAAAAACAATATATAGTGCAGAACTGTACTGTACTTTCAAACTATAATTGGTATATACCATTCTTGAATTAATGTTCAAAATATGAGTGCTGATAATTATTAGTAATTCTTTTTATTGCAAATATTATACAGTACTGTACGTACTTATATTTTAAGAAAAAATTATAAAATGTTGGGTAGTTATGTCCATCGCAATACAAGGGTGTCCTCACTTAAGTGTCGTGGCTGTAGTCTTTGAAAATGCAACTTTAAGTGAAATGATGACACAGATAAATTGATCCCATAAGAATTTATGATAACTGGGGGCCAGGTTCTGGAAAAATTTTTGCCAACAAAATTTATTCTGTATTTATCAGAGTTTTAAAATTAGAATTACTAAACATTGTAAAATTGTACACGAGTTTTAACAGGATATATAACACATTTTAAAGTTATAAATAAGTTTAAAAAATAATTATACAGTATGGTGCAGTAGTTACAAATGAGCAACACCAATGACCACTGTGTACATTCACCAGCATCAAAACACCTTGAGACCTTTAGTACACAAACTGTCCCTTACTGGGCACTTTACACTCATCCTGGAATCGCGCATAGTAAGCACTGTATAGAGAAATAAGGTAATTTATATATAAAAAAAATGCTGTACATAAGCATTAGCTGCTGGTCATAACATTAACAATCAGGGCTGCCATGTAGCTGCACTCTTAACAGATGATGGCCAACATCAGTATAATGAAACAATGTGCAACCTTATATAAATACAGTACTTAATTCATCAGGAGCGCTAATCGATAAGACTTTAAGCGAGGACACCCTGTACTGTACTGTGTGACTGGTATGATTTACACTATCAGCACCAATTACTTTGTTTTCTAAGTAAATATGTTTTGTAATTAGTCAATGCAAAATAAATACAGGAACTGACAGTATTCAATAACAATTTTGTACTTTTGATTTATGGAAATTAACATATTTGCCATAGTAGTACTGTATTCATTATTTTTGGTTAAGGAATCTTTTCTTACATTCCACATTAATGTTTTATTAAAGTATTTTTGGAAACACAAGACAGCAAAGTGACATATGGTGATAGTCTTGAAAATACAGTACTGTACTGTTTATTATTTCAAAAATTTTTGGTGGTCATTATACTGTACATGTATATGTCAAAGTTATGAATCTGATTACACAATTTGTTTTAATTTTGATTTGTGTTCCATTATCAAAATTACCAATACAGTATATGTTTTGGAGATCTAATTGTTTAAGTCATTATTGAAGAAAGGCAGCACAAGTTAAGTTGTACAGGGGCATGGACCAAGCACTGTACAGAACTATCAGTGTATACAGTACAGAATATAATGTCTACTGTATTCTCTTTCTTACATCTTACACTAATGGAAAACAACATGAGGTTGATATAATTGCAACATTAAATAGACTACTCATACAAGATTTTTATTTTTTTTTTTATTTATTTATTTTTTTTTACGAGGATTAGCCCACCCGGGCACAGATCATTGACCCACGTCGGGGCCTGGGGGGCGAAAGAGTATAACAAGTGTATGGATAGATGAATGCTTTAATTCACTTTTGATTTAAGCATTGTAACACATGGTTCATCAACCCCTAGCTAGCACTGTATAAAGGTCATGCTATTTTTGTATGTGTTCATTGATGACACACCTAAGTTGTGAAAATATGCACAATTCTTGACTTGGCTGTTTATGCATTTGGTGCAGAAAATGTTAAACTCCCCCAACAGAATTATGGATGTCCTTTATACCTACCAGTCTAGTCTCCTGGGGTACCCCACTAACCCTGTAATGTATATTTGAATACAGTGCATACAAATTATCGAGTTTTTTTGGTGGCAGTCCTATGTACACGGAGTAAACAAAGAATTATAATATTATAGGGGTAGTTATGCATGTATGAACATTAACAGAATACCGAGTACTACTGTATAGAAATTAAGGTACACATTACTCGTTCACACATGACCCTCTTATTATTTATAGTATAGGTACCAGTCAATCAAAATGTTTTTATAGTGTTCAACAAAAATGTTAAGTACAGGTACCAGCAGATAGCTACCATATTAATTTTTCTTCTTATAGAAATCAATATATATATATATATATATATATATATATATATATATATATATATATATATATATATATATATATATATATATATATATATATATATATATATATATATATATATGGCATTGTACGTAGGTAAGGTTAGGTTTTTTATGTGACTTTTTTTTCCTGGATTCAGTTACTCATATTATATACACTAGCAATGAATAACGGTATATTACTGTGGAAAAAATGCTATAAAAGAAAAATCTGCTTTACGAGTAATGATGTGTGTGTGCATATATTTGACTCATCAGCTGACATCCCAGGCTTTAATAGTTCAATGTGTATTCAGGCTGACTGCACATTGAACTATTAAATAAATGAAACTAAATTGAAACTTTCTCACTACAGTATAACAACACAGCTAGAATACGCCACTACCTTAACGATAAACAAATTATCACGAAAAAATACCCATCTACGCCCACAAACTTATACTGTACTGTAATACGTATAATGACAACAGGTATAAGACAAAAAGATTAATAAAGAAAACCAGTCTCCTCCAACACATACATGCACAAAGCTCACATTGCACGATTTATATAATTCTGAAGGCGAGGAAAACTCAAGCATGTACGAAAAATACTACCTTTTAATACTCTTCATTTGATGTCTCACAAGTGTTTCGGTTCAACTTATATCAAGCCACGTTAAATAACTAGATTTAATTCTAACAATATTCAGGATCACATTTTTAGTAAATAGCATAAGG